AAAAGCTTAGCATTGAAATTTCAAGAAATTCCCAAAATTTCACCACATACATGGAATAACAGTCCCTTAGGGGGCTGGTTTTGGTCCAGGTGTATGGGTGTCAAGGGCGTGCACGCACCACCTTATAGAAAGATTTCAACGAACACCACCTCGATTCTCATCTACACCTAAATTCATATAATAAGCCCCCACACACAATGTCAGATTGGAAGTCCAACCTAAATGTTCCTGCGAAGGACACCAGAGTTCAAACAGAAGACGTGTTAACGACACACGGCAAAACTTTCGAGGATTTCAACTTGAAGAGAGAATTGTTAATGGGCATCTTTGAAGCTGGTTTCGAGAAGCCTTCCCCAATTCAAGAAGAGTCCATCCCTATGGCCCTTGCAGGCAGAGATATTTTGGCTAGAGCCAAGAATGGTACGGGTAAAACCGCGTCTTTCGTGATTCCTTCCTTGCAACAAGTGAAGCCTAAGCTTAATAAAATCCAGGCCTTGATCCTTGTCCCCACCAGAGAATTGGCCTTGCAGACCTCCCAGGTCGTCAGAACCTTGGGCAAGCATTTGGGCATTCAGTGCATGGTGACCACCGGTGGTACCAACTTGCAAGACGACATTTTGAGATTGAACGAAACCGTCCACGTTCTCGTGGGTACCCCAGGCCGTGTTTTGGATTTGGCCTCGAGAGATATCGCCGACTTGTCTGAATGCCCTCTTTTCGTTATGGATGAGGCCGACAAGATGTTGCTGAGAGAGTTCAGAAACGTCATTGAACAAATTCTTTCATTTTTCCCCGCTGGCAGACAGTCGCTCTTATTTTCCGCTACTTTCCCCTACGCCGTCAAGTCTTTCATGGACAAGCACTTGACAAAGCCTTATGAGATCAACTTGATGGACGAGTTGACCTTGAGAGGTATTTCTCAATTCTACGCTTTCGTTGAGGAAAAGCAAAAGTTGCACTGCTTGAACACTCTTTTCAGCAAGTTGCAAATCAACCAGTCCATTATCTTCTGTAACTCCACCAACAGAGTCGAGTTGTTGGCCAAAAAGATCACGGAGTTGGGCTACTCTTGTTACTACTCCCATGCTAAAATGCCACAATCCGCCAGAAACAAGGTTTTCCACGAATTTAGACAGGGCAAGGTCCGTAACTTGGTCTGTTCCGACTTGTTGACCAGAGGTATCGATGTGCAAGCTGTCAACGTCGTCATCAACTTTGACTTCCCCAAGACTGCCGAGACATACTTGCACAGAATCGGTCGTTCAGGAAGATTCGGCCACTTGGGTTTGGCCATCAACTTGATGTCCTGGAATGACAGATACAACTTGTACAAGATCGAGCAAGAGTTGGGCACTGAGATCAAGCCTATTCCAGCCAACATCGACAAGTCCCTTTACGTTAACGAGAACGAGGAGACAATCCCTAAGCCTTTCAAGCTTGACGAGTTGCCCAAGACCAAGGATTCCAGAAAGAACGGCTACGAGTACCAGGGTCAACCACAAGTCCCTCAAGGTGTGCCACAAGGTATCCCACAACAACTCCCTCCTCAGCAGTTCCAACAAGCACCAATCCCACAGCAACAACAGCAGTCACAGACGCCGCAGCAGCCTCAACAGCCACCACAGGGCCATCAATTTAACGGCCAGCAGGCTCCACAAGGCATGCCCCAATACCCTCAGTACGGTCAGTTCCCACCGCAATACGGTTACCCACCCCACATGCAAGGACCACCTCAATTTAACGGTCACACACAGCAGTTCAATGGCCAGGCCCAGAAACAATAGACGGCCTAAGCTATTCGTCAATCCCATTTGAATATACATGGTGTCAAGGATTTAGAGTGACACCGGGAGCTGACGATCCACATGCGAAGAATCAATTACGAATTAAAAAGTCAAAAAAAAAAAAAAGAGAAAAAAATCAAAAAAATCATACAAAAAAAAAAAAAAAAGTTTATCTTCTCCCAGGCAATTACTAGCCTCGATCTCCACCCTGGAGAGTCCCCCAAAGCGCATTACAAACGTATCTAAGAATCGATGGTTCACAGGATGACAGCACGAGTCTACTGTCAAGAAACTAGCATGTTCACATAACGACGGGCCATGGCCGGCCGGCCATGCCGACCAGTTCAACACAAGTCATTCACAACTTACCAGTTGCATTCACTTTCCTGTGCCTACATTAACGAGTTACGATTTCAGTTTTACCTGATGCTTTGTTTGGGATGTTCCGCTCCAGTTATAGATTTTATTTTCACATCACTGGACATCCGATTTTGGGTTGTATTCATATGGTGTCTTCATTTCATAGTTTTGTTTTATTATTTCATTTTCAGCGTTGTAGACGGATGCTTTGATCGTTGACATTAACTAGAATACTTTGATATAATGCTTTTAACGCCTGATGTCACAAGCTGGAGCTTTTGTGGCACTTGTCATAGACTTTAACTTCTCCGCTACTATTGGTCCTGAAAAAACCGTTTTTCAGCATGCCGCTTATTCACGGTCAAGAGCCACATGAACGGTCCGGCCGACCCAAGAAGCATTACTCATCATATTGAAATAAAACAAGTTGTCAAGATTTTTCAACCTCCGTCCACTGACTCAGCGCGATATCTGACCGTGTGGCTGCGAATTATGTAATTTATCTGGGCTGGCTAATTCGGTCCAGACGGCTGCGAAACAGTCAACGACCCACCACGAAGGGGCCCAAAACATTAAAAAAAGAAGATATTTTCAATCAACATTTCGAAACCAAATTCCAAAAAACAGAAATCCCATCAAAGGCTGCACAAAAACGGCGGATTTCTTTTTCACCGCTTTTTCCATTGTACCCTCATCTCCAGGTTTTCGCGACTTCTGACTCCGTCTCATCTCTTCAGCTCATCTCTTCTTAACATGTGTGGAATATTGGCGGTCGTGCTAGCGAACCAGAAGAACAATGTCGCCTCCGAGCTCTTCGAAGGCGCCATGTTCCTCCAGCACAGAGGCCAGGACGCTGCAGGTATCGTCACCTGTGGAGCCAGAGGCCGTTTCTACCAGTGCAAAGGAAACGGCATGGCCAGAGACGTTTTCACCCAGCTGAGAATGGTCAACTTGGTGGGCAACATGGGTATCACCCACTTGAGATACCCTACTGCTGGCTCCAGTGCCGGCAGCGAGGCCCAGCCGTTTTACGTCAACTCGCCTTACGGTATTTGCATGTCTCACAACGGTAACTTGGTCAACTCCAGCGAGTTGAGGAAGTACTTGGACGAGACCGTGCACAGACACATCAACACGGACTCTGATTCGGAGCTTTTGTTGAACATTTTTGCCTCCGAGTTGGACAAGTCCAACAAGAGCCGTGTGAACAACCAGGATCTCTTTGCTGCGTTGACCTCCACCATGGAGTTTGTGAGAGGCGCTTATTCGTGTACCGCCATGCTTGCCGGTTACGGTGTCATTGGTTTCCGTGACCCCAACGGTATCCGTCCGCTTTTGTTTGGTGAGAGAGAGAACGAGGATGGTTCTTCTGACTACATGCTTGCTTCTGAGTCTGTGGTTTTGAAGGCTCACGGTTACAACAAGTTTAGAGACATTGGCCCCGGTGAGGCCGTCATCATCCCCAAGGCGCCTGACGCCAACAACAAGCCCGAATTCAGACAGGTTGTGGAGCCAAAGATCTTCTCGCCAGATATCTTTGAGTACGTCTACTTTGCCAGACCCGACTCCGTGTTGGACGGCGTTTCCGTCTACAGATCCAGAATCGAGATGGGTAACCGTTTGGCCACCAAAATTAGAAAGAGCTTCCCCAACCACGACGTTTTGGGTGAGATCGATGTGGTGATTCCTGTTCCAGACACCTCGCGTACCTCTGCTTTGCAGTGTGCTGTCTCCTTGAACGTTCCTTACAGAGAGGGTTTCGTCAAAAATAGATACATTGGCCGTACATTCATTATGCCCAACCAGCAGGAAAGACGCCTGAGTGTGAGAAGAAAGTTGAACGCTATGGAGTCCGAGTTCAAGGGCAGAAACGTGCTTTTGGTGGACGACTCCATCGTTAGAGGTACCACCTCGAAGGAGATTATCCAGATGGCCCGTGAGGCCGGCGCCAAGAAGGTCATGATTGCCTCTTGTGCTCCTCCAATTCGTTTCAACCACATCTACGGTATTGATTTGGCCGACACCAAGGCGCTTGTGGGATTCGACAGAACGGAAGAGGAGATTGCCGAGGTCATTGGCGCTGACAATGTTTTCTACCAGGATCTTCAGGACTTGGTTGACTGCTGCACAAGCGAAAAGACGCTGACATTCGAGGTGGGTGTCTTCACCGGCCAGTACATCACCGGTCCAGAGGACAACTACATCCAGGAGTTGGAGAAGATCCGGGCGCAGAACCAGCGTTTGAAGGAGGTCACCAAGGGTTTGAGCGTGGACGCTTGCATTGATGTGCTGGACCTTGTGGATGTCAAGGCTGAGCTGGACATCTCGATACATAACGCCGGCGACCACAACCCATAGGATTTGTAATTAATGAGCATTTGAGTAGAGAAGGTGTAGTATGGAAACGAAGCTCCAGTAGCTTTGAAGGGAAGATGTCAAGGGAAGATTTCAAGTGGACAGATTTGGAGGAAGTATTTGAAATTTGAAATTTTCAGTGAAAGCTACGGCCTCTTTGTGGTTGCAAAATCACCATTATGTGATCAGCCCTACGAGCCAATAGATCGCCGAGAAGCATTAGTCAAAGCATACTGTCCAAATACTTATTTCGGCTTTGCAGAGGCAGAATTGCCATCCAGTCAAAAATCAATATATCACCATAACTCCCCTCGTTCTTCCCAACCGAGTTCCATTCAAACCATTGCCCATTGTACTGCTGATCACTCGCTAAGCGATCTACGACTCCCACCTACAACCCAAAACTCCCCTCCAACACCTTCTACAATCTCTCCATGCTGCATCTCGTGAATTAATGCTACGCCAGAGCCCGTGGCCCTGCACCTCGTATGTACATCTTCCTTACTCGACATCGTCGAACTTCTCGCCCTGAACCAAGTCTGGAATGTCCTCGTCAGCACCCTCGGCACCGGCGTTCAACTCGGTAGGAGCCTTACCACCCTGGATCTGCTCAGCCAACTTTCTCAAGGCCTCCAAGTTCTCAGCACCCAACTGAGGCAAGATACCTGGAATCAACTGGGTGATGTCCTTCTCCTGGGGGTAACCGGTGAAGGCAAAAGTGTTGCTCTGGGAAGCAGCCTGGACACCGACTCTGTTGAAGTGCAAAACCTTGCCATTGTCCTTGAAGAAGTTGGCTTCCTCGACACCCTCGACCTTAGTGGCTTTCAACTTGCCCAAGGTCTCGACGAGCTTGACGTCGTCCACCTCCTTGACGACCTTCTTGGCCTTGACTCTGGCACCACCAACCTTCTTGGGGTTGGATTTTTGCAACTTGGCTAACTTCTCTGGATCAATTGGCATTCTGTGGGTTAGAGATTGGTGGGTTTTTTGGAAGCGTTGAAATTTTCTCGACACCATGGATGCGCACGACCGTGAAAACCGGTCACGTGACCACGGACCATCCATAGCCGGTCGTCTGCCTTGCTCCGGGGTGTATTTTTATTTTGGCAAGAGATTTGGGGTTTCCGGTTGCTGAAGAAGTGATGGATTTCTTTGTTTTGGTAGTGAGAGTGTGTGGCGGAGGGAATTGAAGGTAAGTGTGATTTGCAGGATAGGATAGTGTCCCATGACGGTTTAGCCAGCCATTATAAATGGAAGCTCCCTCTTTTCAAAAATTGATCGCAAAAACAATGAATCGAGAGACCACGTAATGTGAAGAGGCCAATGCTTTGAAAAAATTTACATTTGTGGGGCGAGTTGATCGACCTCTGTTGTCGCGACATTTTGGTTGCAAATTGCTACACTGTCAGACACCAGCGACATCACCCTTTCACCGATAATTCAGAACGGTAACTCAGAATTAAGCTTAGATCGAAGATGAAAGCCGACAATTGAATCCATTAAATAGAATGGAAGGCATATATTATGAGGAATCTGGACCTTTAGAGACCACTGGTACCCCACAATTCAACACCGTTGGCTGATTTCTTCAATCCCAAAGACTGAAATCGTATATTTCTCCATTTACTGTACCCCTTTAGTGTGAGGTGTCGTAAAAATCAAAGAAGCTGTACGATATTTGTGCATTATCAAACAACCTGAATTCCCTGGTGTGTGCTTGCTTCTCCACCATACCAGCAATTCCCTCCACACAATCTTCAAAATCCAAATTCTCTCTACTATGGTCAATCTAACACGCTATATTTTAAAATAACATCTTAACTTTTTCCCAAACCTGTCGTGTCGGCAATTTCGGCCTCCTTGCAGAGACCCCGTAAATAGACTTCAAGAAAAGCCTCACGATGCACCACGCTTGGCAACCGTTTTGCAACCAAACAAACAACATTTATTTTCCACCCGAAACTCCAAAAAACTCAGTCAAAATCCAAAACCTCTTCATAAAACGGACCCCTCCTCTGACTCTGATCCACACCACCCCTCGTTGCTCATAATCAACGGCGCGCTCTATCACTACAACCACACTTCTTTCTACAATTTTCACAAGGATAGGTCCATATCGTTCAGACCACATATAGTTCATTCAAATTGAACGCTCAACTCTCAGCAATAAACTGAGTCAAAATAAAACCGCCACACCCGACTCAGTGCTGAAATCACCCATCCAGTCGAATTCCGCTATGGCTCTGGTTATTGCTTCCTCCATCCCCGTGGGCCTTTCTTCAGGCGCCCTTTTTGTCTATTCTGTTTATGGGCCTCAGCTCGCAGCACAATGCCACCTTGACTCATCGCTGGCCGCAAACCTAAGTATTTCCGCTACCGTGGGTTCCGCTTTGGGTGGATTGATAGGAGGTTATGTCACCGACACTTACGGTTCTCAGTACCCTGTGGCCAGCGGATGGTTGCTAGTTTCGTCTGGTTACTACTGGCTTCGTTCGCTTTATCTACTGGGCGAGGATGCTGCTCATTGGATGCTTGTACTGGCGATGTTCCTTGTTGGAGCTGGTTCTACCGCTAGCTATTTTGCAGCGATAAAAGCGGTCACGGTGAACTCTCCAAAATGGAAGGGACTGGCGCAGAGCGTGCCTATAGCGCTGTTTGCCATCGCAAGTTTGTTGTACTCGTTCGTTTGTTCTCACATCCTCCATGGCGACGTGGGAGCGTTTCTCCTTGTTTTGGCCGTTTCGTCGTTTGTGATGCAGTTTGTGGGAGTCATGTTCATCCGTATTCCTGGCCATGAGCCCCAGAAGGTTGGAGAAGAATTCTCTCAGCTTTTAGACGAAGCAGAGGGCCCTGTGGGTGAACCAGCTAGAATGGCCCCAGAAGCTACCCCTGTCGGCCCTTACCACCACCTCGAGCTTAAGGAGATTTTGACTCACAGTGTATTCTGGTCCCACTTTGCGCTTATCGCCGTGTTCCAGGGCCTTGGCCAGATGTACATCTACTCAGTGGGCTACATTCTCAAAGCTATCCACTACTACTTCACACACGCACAAATCAAGGCGGAGAATGTCGCTGATATTCCTTCCTTCAGCTCTCTCCAGGCTCTCCATGTGTCTGTCATTGCTATCGGCTCTTTTATAGGACGTCTTACCTCAGGTCCTTTTGCCGATTACCTTGTGAACCGCCATGGCTGGAAACGTCATTCGGTGCTTGTGCTTGCTCTTGTGCTTATGGGTGCTGGTCACTCTGCACTTATCTTCCCTATCGAGCAATACTCGCTGCTGATCTGGCTGTGCAACATCCGTTTGGCTTTCATCTCTTCGCTTATCGGTTACGCCTACGGCTTTGGCTTCACGTCGTTGCCGGCAATTATTGCAGACCTCTTCTCCATGAAGAACTATTCCCTTCTTTGGGGAATCATGTACTCCTCGACGGTGCCTGGTCTCACTGTATTCACAAAGTTCTTTGGATACAACTACGATAAACACTCTGAGGTGGAGAACGGTGAGCTTGTGTGCAACCAAGGGTACAAGTGTTACGACCACACGTTTGGTGTGACCGGCCCGCTTGCGTTGTTTCTCGTGGTGGTGATCATTGTCGTCGCTGCCTTTTATAGAAAGCGCCGGACCTAGACTATTTATTAATGCCATGATGATAGAGGCTGATTGTATGAATGTAAGCTTAATGATGTCAAACCGATGAAGGACGTTCGTCTAGACAACAAAGATACCTCTATCCAAAAACAAGATTGTAGATGCTTCAAGGTAGCTACAGTATTGAGGTAACCTAGACCATAATGGTTTGCAGACATATGAAGTTTTTCACCAATTGAATCCCAAAATCAGGCAAATGGGGAATCAGCTTAGGATTCACTTCGAGATTCATGAGAATACAACTTCATCATGATTTTTTTGTTTTTTTTTTCTCTACCCCAGCTCATCTCGTTCTGGTGATGCCCCACATTATTCGCACCCATCGATCTCAACTACAACTAGATATCCATGTCACGGCCAGTTTCTGTGGAGGATTTGATCAAGCAAAGCGAGGAGGCAGGAAAACCTCGTTTTCTCCTGAAAAAGCAGCGTCTACAATTGAAGAAAAAGTCAGCTCCAGCGGTTTCCGTCCAGAAAAAAAGACCTATACAAAGCCAGCCTGAACCAGAAGCAGAACCGGAGGAGAAGAAAGCAAAGAAAGCGCCAAAGTACAACTTCGACTGGGACGACGAAGATGACACGTCTGCCAATTACCTGCCGTTGGTGACTGTCGAGCCCACTAGACCCTTGACTGAGGCTATACCTGAGAAACACTGGTCCCAGAAGGCTCTAGTAGATATGACAGCACGAGACTGGCGTATTTTCAGAGACGACTACAACATATCAAGCAAGGGAAAAGACATTGATCTTCCTCTACGATTCTGGAACGAGGACTCGAGAATTCCCGAAAGTGTGTTGGATATACTAGTCAACCACCTTAAGTATAAGGAACCCACGCCTATTCAACGAGCTGCATTGCCATTTGTGCTAGGACACAGGGATGTGGTGGGTGTGGCCGAAACAGGTTCTGGTAAAACGCTAGCGTTTGTGATCCCGCTTCTACTGTACATCTTGAACATCGAGTCTGAGTACATGAAACACGAACACACCCAGGAAGCCAATAGCAACAAGACGCTAGGGCTCATATTGGCACCTACTCGAGAGCTTGCCCTTCAGATTGCCAAGGAGACACAGAAATTTGCCGATCGCTTGAATCTCTCTGTTATCACGATCATTGGTGGACACAAGTACGAGGAGACCATTCATTCGCTCAGAAACGGGGTTCACATTGTGGTGGCTACGCCCGGTAGACTTGTTGATTCGCTCGAGCGTGGAATCATTAGCCTCGACAAATGCTACCATGTGACCATGGATGAAGCAGACAAGATGATCGATATGGGCTTTGAAAAGTCACTTAACCAAATCCTCAAGTACTTGCCAACAAACGAACATCTACAACAGAGTATTGATCTGAGGATTTTGCGAGTTCAAAAAAGAACTACTGTTATGTTCACTGCAACGATCACGCCGACTATTGAGAAAATGACGAAGAATTACTTGGTCGATCCGGGATTCCTCTTTATTGGCAACGCCAACGAGCTAGTGGACACCATCGACCAGCAATTCGAATACGTGGGTCCAGCACTTTCAGACAAACAGGAGGTCGATGCGACCAGACTACAAAAGCTTGTCCAAGTGTTGGAAAAGCACAAGAAGGGCCCAAACTTTTCTGTCATTATTTTCGCTAACTATAAACGAGTGGTTGAGCTGTTGGCCGAGGATTTGGCAGACAAAAACCTCAAAAACGTGGTCACCATCCACGGTTCGAAATCCCAGGAGGCCAGAGAAACCGCTATAGAGAAGTTCCGTTCCAAGGCTGCCTCCATCCTCATAGCCACAGATGTTGCAGCCAGAGGTATCGATATTCCACACGTTTCGCTCGTGGTCAATTTCCAGATGAGCAACAAATTCGAAGAGTACATTCACAGAATTGGTCGTACTGGCCGTGCAGGCGAGCATGGTGCCAGTTACACCTTCATTGACGACGGCGATAAGGATACTTTTATAGAGCTCAAGAAGTTTTTGAGCAGGGGCGGCAAGCGCGTGCCAGACTGGTTGAGGGAAGCAACTAGGTTTCTCACCTCTGCTTAGTCCTCATCGCTACTAGCGTAACCCCCAAAATGCGATTGAGATGCTGATGTAGCCTGGACAGGTGAATCCAAATCCGGCTTTATGCTGGGTGCTCCATTGGACGATGCTCCATTGGATGGTGATGCGTTGGAGGTGTTTGCGTCGTTTCCACCGTTTGTTGCACTATCGGCGCTATTGGGTTTTCCAGACTTCTGCAACTTCCCAAGCGCAGCCAATCTTGCGGTGCCTAGAAGCCTTCGGGAATTGGTTGGCTCCTCCTCCACTATCTCCTCCTCGACTATCTCCTCCTTTTCAGATGCAACAGGCTCCTCTTTGGATGGCTTCTTCTTTGGAGAGGGCTGCGTTTTCCTCTTCTTGGGCTCCTCCGCTAGCAAACGCTTCACCGTATCCAACGCAGCGTCATCGGCTGACCGCTTCGCCAGTTGTTGTGCATTCGGATTTGGATCGTCGTTGGCCCACCTCACCGTCAAGGTATCATTACCATCCAAAGTCTGCCCATCCATGGCCTCCTTGGCAAACTGTGCTTCCAGCTCGTACTTGAAGGAGATAAACGCACATGCTTTGCTCCTTAAAACACGTATCTTATCGATGGAACCAAACTCCCCGAACTGGTTGGCAAGAGTTTCCTCGATCTCATCGTTGACGTGGAGTCCTGCAGCATAGAGCGTTTTGTTGACCTTGTTGAACAGCCCCACGCCACCCATGTTATCCTTGTAGTCCGCTGTTTTGTCCCTGCCAAAACAGTCCTGTGACGGTATTGCTGGGTCTGTTGGAAGCGGTAGTCTATGCAAAAATTGGCAGGACTTTCCCTTATAACAGCAGCCACGGGCGAAAAACAAACAAAGGGGCAGTTTCCCGTCCTTGGCCCTGGTGTATCCGGAGTCCTCCAGGATCTTGACTCGAGTCTTCAGTCGCTGAGTAACATTGGAAGATCGATCACCTCCGGCCCATTGGAGGTACCAGATATTGAAAGTGTGACCGGTCTGAGGCGGCTTGTCGTCGTCCGGTATATCATCCGGATTGACCTGCACTCTAGCGGGACGATTCATGTTGGAAACTGGAGGATGAGTAGTTGCAAGATGGTGATGCTCATCTCAATGCAGGTAACTGCGCATCACCAGGGACATGGGCGATAAGGTGATGAACAACATCCATGGAATTGGGAAAAGGAATCTGGGATTCACAGAAGATGAGAATTTTCTTGAGAAAAGACAATGTTGGATTTTGGTATTGCCGTGATGGTGATACATGTGTACGTTGATAAGAGCGTCTAACGAGCATGGACGATGTCAATTACGCATATTGAAATGGTCATTACTTCTTCCAGCGAAGAGCATAAGCAAGAGCTTGGAAGTATAATTCGAGAAGCGAAATGAAAAAGTACCGAAAAACAGCATCACTGTAATGTCAAATCTATTTAGAGACTACTAGCCTATTCGTGAGAGACCTCCACAAACCAAAAGCACTAGCAAAAGTCAAAACCTCCATTTATCATTTATTTTGTACTCAATAATATTCCTGAGGTCTGGGGGTCTTCTTCCTGAAAAGCTCACGTTCTTCCAAAAATAGGAAACTTTTGCAACTACCGTTTGTGAAATCACCCTCACCAACCAACACTTCTACTCTCCTCACTACTCCTATTCCTCTTTGTTTGCTATCATTTCGCTATCATTTCGCTATAATTTGCTATTACTCTGCTCACTGAAACAAATTCAAAGAAATACACCTTCGCCATGGCTACCGCTCAGACTACTACTACAGCTTGTGCTAAGAGACTGCCTCAACTTGAAAAAAGGAACACCGAAACCAACACTCCAGAGAACCAAAAGAAGCTATATATTAGCTTCTCAATCAAAAATCACAAGAAAGAGCACCAAGGGGTGGAAAACATGAAAAGTTCAAATGGCGCCTTTCAGCCGCTGCACCGTTTTCTGTCACAGAAGCCGACTTCAAGTCATATAAGACTACCTGCGTCGAAACTCCGGAATGCCCCACAAAAGCCGCAAAGCAAGAAAACCCCTGAAAAGCTCTATATCCGAATTCCGTTGGAAAGAATGCTTCGACTCAAGCGTTTGAGGGAGTCATCCGAATAGGTGTAAAGATACGATTTCAGAGGAGGACGCGTCTACACTTGTTCCATCATTATAGTTCAATTAAGCCCGGCTTATAAACATTTTTCTAGTACTCTTACAAGTTGAAAACGAAGGTGCAGCCCACAATAGCCAACACAGCGGCACCCTTCTTCCAGGAGGCCAGGTCGAAAACAGCACCGGCACCGGAGCTGCCCGAAGAGCTGGAGTTGGAGCCACCGGAGCCCGAAGAAGAGCTGCCAGAGCCAGAGCCGGAGGAGGAACCAGAGGCAGAAGAGCCAGACTTGGTGCCAGAAGCAGAAGAGCCGGAGCCGGAGCCGGAAGCGGAGGCAGAGCCAGAAGCACCGGAACCACCAGCACCACCAGAACCAGAGGCAGAAGAGCCACCGGAGGAAGCAGAGCCGCTCTCTTCAGAGTCAGACAAGGTAGCAATGCCGCCAGCGGAGTCAGAAGCACCAGAAGCACCGGCAGCGCCAGAAGCGCCAGAAGCAGCACCAGAAGCGCCAGAAGCAGCGCCAGAGGCACCGGAGGCACCAGCAGCACCAGCACCGGAAGTAGCAGAAGCACCGGCGGCACCGGCACCAGAAGTCACGGAACCAGCGGCACCAGAAGCAGCGGCAGCGCCAGAAGCACCAGCCTCAGAAGCACCAGAAGCAGCGGCACCTGGAGCACCAGCCACAGCGGACTCAACACCACCTGGAGCACCAGCAGAACCAGAGGCACCAGCAATACCGTTAGTAGCGGCAGCAGCGCCAGAGGCACCAGCACCAGAAGCAGCGCCAACCAAAGACTCGGCGGCAGCAGTAGCCTGGGAGCCAATGCCAGCAGCACCAGAGGCAGCAAGAGTGTCACCAGAGGCAGCAGCATCGCCAGCACCAGCACCACCGGCACCACCAAGGCCAGAATCAGAACCAGCCTGACCGTTAGAGCCAGAGCCCACACCGAGGTAGGAGGCGGTAGGGGCGGGGGCGGCGCCCGCGGCTTCGGAAATTTCGTAGTTGATAGCGTTCAAACCCATGGTTGTGGAATTTGAAAATGGTGGGAAAAACGGCCGCCTTATATAGTTTGTGCCTGGCAGTTTTGCAGCCATGGCCATATGATGCAGTCTGCATATCGCACAGCCCACAGCCGCTCCAGCGTCTGCACTCTACGACGTCAGTTGATGGGGGGATGAAGCAGGGAAATTGAAGGTGGTGGATTTTAAATGGACTCAAAATTTGCTGATATCTTTATAAATTCACCATCTTTTTTGCCTACTCCAAAACCCTATGTTGTGAAGGTTGCCGGATCTCGCGCTCGATCTGTGCCCCTGGCGCAGGGGAACGCGCCAAAAAAAGATTGTCATATTCTGACGTTGCGAGTGCTAGGCTGTGTCGTTCGAGCCAGGAATCCCAGGGTTTTCGCGGTGATATTTTCCAGAAACGGCGCCAAATTTGGACGAGCATAGCCAAAGCGACCAACCCAATTAGACAAATTAGCGCATTCCGCCTGAAGAATTTCCCTTCTTTTTAGTTAATCCTATTCTTTCTAAAAATCCAATAAAACCCATGGGAGCAAGGGTTGCTCTCGCCGTCCTTCCGGCAGAGTGGGTCTGGCTTAGAACACAGCCAACGGTGTGTGGAGGCCGCGGATGCTGGATATTTGTGTTTTCGCTTTGAGGAGTAAGTGATGCAGGAGCAGTACTCGGCCCATGGAGGATCCAGCAATCGACAAGGAGGCGCAGAGTTGTGATATTTGCAAATCGGATCCACGGAGCCGTTTCTGGTTGGCCTATTGCGTCATGGAAGCCGGCGAGCGATCGCTGCGTCTCGGGTCTCGGTTTGCAGCCATGACTTGGTGGAGCCAGTTGCAGCCATTTCTCCCTGGTTTCAGGCCATGATGGGCGGTGCTGTCTGGCCAAGATGGGCGGTGCTGTAAATCTGAATGTATTTTCCTCTCGTAGTGATTGCCTTGCTGCTTTATTGCCTTGTTGCCTTCGATTAGCTTCTAGATTCAAAAGCATAGTCGATGGATTCTGGCCCAGGTGGGTCAGCCGCTCGCTGTCACCGTGAATGTGGTGGCTTTCAGGAGACACGGTGGGTCTGGCTCTTTTCGGGTCTCGTCTCCCCTATTCTGTCACGGTCGATTCACGTATCCCGCATCCGTGCTTAGCTTTCTAGACCGCGGTGGAATGGTGGCTGCGAATCCACCGGATCGATACTTATACTTGGCGGAACCACAGCGTCTTGGCAGGTTGAGGACCCGGGTCCAGTGATAAAAAAGGAAGATTGGAGTAAATGAAGGTCAAAAGAAGGATCTAATTGAGAGGAAGAATGCTATAAAATGATTGAAATTGAGGTTTTGGTTTATGGGGTACTTCTGTCTGCCGCGTGATGGCTGCAATTCGAGAAACTGTGGGTTCCTGGCAGGATATGTCACTGGCGCAGGAACCAGAGAAGGATACCGATTGGGGCGATAAAGTGAAAGTGTGGTTTTCCGGGATTTTACTGTCTGAACAAAAAGCGATTTCAGATGGAGCCACCGCTCAGAAACCGCCAGTGTGAAAAGTGAATCGACTGAATGCTACTTGGTTATTAATGGAAGCTTGCTGAAGCGCAATAAGCGGGAATATCACTGAAATCGAAACCACGTCAGGTGTGGTGGAGTTTAGCGGAAGTTCGACAATATGGGGATTTGTGAATCCTGAAATTCACTCAATCTTTCAGTTGAAATTCACTCAATTCTTCAGTTGAAATTCAAGCATAATGGGCTGAAAAATTACAAGGTCCATCCAACTACCGCACTATGGATTCCCCATAACGTGCCCCATATTGTGACTACAATGACGCGTCAACCCTACAATCCATCCGTTCAGTTCGTTTTATTCATTTTCATATTAAGTGTCTGTCGTCACGTCTACAAGGACAAAAGGAAGGAGCAGCCGACAAGAGCAGCAACGGCAGCGCTCTTCTTCCACGAGCCAGCAATGTCGAGACCAGCAGCGGCGCTGTCGCCAGAAGACGAGGAAGAACCGCTCGAGGAAGAGCCCGAAGTGGAAGCAGAGCCCGAGGCGGAACCAGAAGACGATCTGGAGGAGGCCGAGGAAGAGCCAGAAGAGGCACCAGAAGAGGCACCAGCCGAGCCCAGGGAAGCGACAGAAGAAGCGCCCGAAACGAAGGAGCTGCTCAAGGAGTTGAGCTCGGAATTGAGCGACGAGAGAGCGGTGGAAGCGCTCGAGGATCCAGAGGCACCGGCAGTGGCGGCACCCAGAGCCACAGAACCAGCACGCGAAGTGATCTGGTCCGCCTGGGAAACAGCACCCGAGGTGACAGTGTCAAAAGCACCCACAGCGCCAGAAGTGACAGTGCCGAAAGCACCAACGGCACCAGAAGTCACGTCTGTGGCAAACTGGCCACCTCTAGAAGTGATTTGCTCACCGATGGAGACGGCGTTGCCGGTGAGAGCAGTGGCGGCGCCCACGGCGCCCGAGGTGACGGTGTCGACGATGCCTCCGATTCCAGAAATAAGATCAGCCATGATATAAGATATAGATGGTTTGGAGAGGACCAATGGCTGCGAATGGGCTTCTTATATACCCCAGCCGGGTCACCGCGGGGCGCGGTTGCTGCATGAGACACTTCTGCATGGCCGGCCCAAAGAAGGATAATAGCCGGAGGGCTGTTGGATATGATTTAAAAATAGAAGAGGTTGGAAGAGGTTTCGGGATGATGAGGTGGCTCAGCCAGGGGTTTCTTGATTCACCGGCATCATCGTGGATTTCATAAAACCATCTTTTTCGTTTCGCAGCCAAGACCAGGAACCAGGAGCAACTGTGCTGAGGTCCAGGACAATGGAGGAGGGAAGAAGAACCCACAATGGCGACAGGTATTGTGGAGACGACAGAAAACGAGGCAGTGGGCGTTCTTTTCTTGGACCCAGGACGAGAAACGTGATTTTGGCAAAACCGACCAATCTCGTACTTGGTTCCGTTACGGTGCCGTTACGGTGCATTACGGTCTAGGGTCCAGAATAGGGGAGTGCGCAGGGCTGAGAAAACGGATTTCAACACCACGACGGCAGCATAGCCGAGACGAGAGGTGCTGCTATTTTGAGAACAGGACGCGATGGAGAATAGGCGGTTTTGGAGGCAGTTTTCAATCCCCGGCCGTGTGGCCGTATTGCACGTTTGGAAGTGATGGGGAATGTGGATGTCCATTGGTCTGGCGCGGTGAAAATTGTGGAAAATCCGGAACTGCAGGGCTCGTGTCTAAGTTTAAAGCTGAGTCGAAACCTAAACTACGAATTGAAAGGCTTCATCTTTTGGTGGCCAGCTCCTTGTTGTCCCACGCGTCGAGGTACAGCGTTTATTCGGTGTGGTCATGGTCTGGCTGTGCAGGTGAACATGAAAAAGTGCTGGAGCGTCCACCAGTGCAGGGCATGGTTGCTAAAGATCGCAGTGGGTGCAATGCACAGAAGATGCAGAGAAACGTACGGAATTGGAATGGTACCATACGGTCACGCCGGGCATGCTGTTGAAATTCAAACCAGGGATTCTAGAGTCGGGGCCTGGAACTGACAGCGGCATTGACAGCCGGACATTGAACATTGTCTGGGTATTGTCTGGCACGGTGAAGCGGAGGCCGTGTTGCATTTCCGAAAGTGTGAAAAGGAGGTGACGTTGGGCTGAAAGGGGAGCTTTTTAGGTGAAATGGGGGTTGGTGCAGAAGATCCGTCTGGATCTGGCTGGAGATCGTCCGCCACAGTGCTTTGATTGGTGGGTCGGTGGGTCCTCAGCATTCAGGAATCGCGTTTCCCGGAGGGATTGTGACGATTTGGGGAGTGGAGGATTTTGCGATTTGCCGAAGATATTTTTTGAGGTGGTGAGGTGGTGAAACGGCTGAAAAGGCGATTTTGTGGTCGGTGAGGCTGCGCCAGAGGCTGGAGGATAAGCCGTCGCTAGCAGGTGGCTGAACTGAGCGAAGCAGGCAGTGACTAATCCGGGCAGGCACTTTAAGCTGATGAAGGATGGATTCAGTAAAATTTTGGTTCTAGAACCAGACTGTGGTTGTTTTGAAAGTTTATGGTTGAAGAGTATTCAGGGCTGACCGAGCTTTTCGAGATATCGTTTCTCGCAGCCATTTCTCGCAGCCATTGCTAATTCTGGCACTCGCCTTATTTCGTCACTTACCCAAGAATAAACCTTAATTCTCGCTAAGCATTGAACACTAAACGTCAAATAATCGTAGCATTTCCTCGTCACAATTCGAGTAAATTGCCGACCTAGCTCCACATCCTTTTCGAGCATTACTACGCAATAAATACGCTTACACTGCAAGCGAGCATCCATCTCTAAAGCATCAACCACCTACTTCTTATCAATTAACTTAAAAACCTTCCTCACGAAAAACCCCCTGAAATATCGCCCATCTAAATTTACACAACCCTTTCCCGAGGCTCAACTAAAATAGCTTAGCTCCCCCACTTGTGCCTCCCTCACGGCAGGATCTCGTTCCTGCGACCCCACCAAATAAGCTTCTACCGAGAGGCTCTCCAGTTCCCCAGACGCACGGTCTTCTTGAAAGCCACCCAATAAAAGGCGATAATCTTCATCAAAAAATTAAAATCTTATCTCTGTCAAATCACCAGCAACCCACTTTACAAACCCTCTTGTCCCTCTTGCCCTCTTATCATTATCGTTCGATAGGTGCAGCCGCAGCATCGCCCAGCCGTTGAGTGGAGATTCTTAAGTCCCGAAAGGCGCCAGGATATAAGCAGGAGGGGAGCTTTACTGTGGCTCCAGCGCCGTCTTCTAGGTCTGAGAGGGGAAGAATTACGGCAGTCCGGTCGGAAGCAAGGTCCAGTTTCCAGAAATTTTTCAGAGCAGCAGTGATTCAGAATCATCGTCTGTGCCTGCTGCAGAGCCATCGGAAAAATCAACGGAGTTCGTCCGTCGTTTGGAAAAGTATATAAGCAGCCGTCAGGGCCCCAAACGTCCTGACCCTAACTTATCCCTAAATCATAATTCTCTTCTGTTTTGCA